ATGCAGCAATTGGCAAGAAGCTTCATATATGAATGCTACCTTTCAGCAACTTGATAAATTCTTATGAGCAGCCCTCACTTCTCTCTGTCTTTAGAAAAGTGACTTCCTCCTCTTGAGACAGAGGAAGAAGCACCACTCTTCTTTTCTTTCCTTCACTCTAAACTTGTCACAGCTCCATCCTCACTCAAGACCTGTATGGCCCTGGGAGTTTCACTCTTTATTTACTGGCACCTGATAGAATATCTGTAATGTGTAGACAATTGTTTATCACATTTGACTAGTTTAAAAAACTTTTTAAAAACAATGTTTTTAGTCAACTTTGGTATTGGCCTTCAGCCCAAATTAATTATCTACACAGACTTATCTCTGAAAATGGGAAGAGTTACATGCTTATATCAGTGAGATTTCTGACTTTTTGTTCATCAATACTATGACTACATAGTTTACTTTCATGTGCAATCTCAATAATTACACTATTATAAATTATTCATAGCAATCAGACTCATTGCCAATATATCATCATTCACTCTTATAATATCAATATTATCAGCAATTATAATACTATATTATGGTAGTGTAATCATAATACTATACACAGCTTTCAGCTTATCTTCCAAAATTACACAGATTTGGCAGCCATAGCTAGTAGCAACACTAAATCAATCAAGAACAAGCATGAATAAGATTACAAAGCACAAAATGAAACTGCAATCCTGGTGTTGGGTACCAAGCATCACCCTGGACTGGGAATAATGGAGTTTGTACAGCCTTTCATGTAGAAGTTTGTACAGTCTCTTCTACTATAATTTCCCAGTACTGGTGTCTTGACCTTTGTTCTCACATCTCTTGAAGAATACAACTGCTATGTCTGTATACCAACCCCCTGATGCAAAACTAGATAAAGTACCAGAACTGTTAGGAAACTCCTGATGCCAATTAATCAATACCTTAGATAAGGTGTCCTGTGTGCCTTGATGGTTCCAAACTGATGTGTTGCAATTAAGCTTCTATAGCCTTAGGAAAATTAGCCCACCAAACCTCATTCCTTTCACCTTGTATCAAGAATTATTAAAGCTTGATTTTTACCTGAGACTTTTCCTTGTACTACTAATAAAATAAACACTCTGGCTCAGGTAGGTGCTCACATTTCCATCAGGAATTCAGTCCTCCTGATACCAGCTGTTTTATGTTGTATGTCTGTATGTCTGTATGTTTTTGTGTGTTTTATTTATCATTCCTGGTCGCTCTTAGTCATGCAGCATACCCATGCAGGCGGGGGCAAGTGGCCCAACCTTGGGGACTGACTACAAGAAAACTCATTGGACAAGGTGAGGGAACACTCTGGAGGACACGTCCACAAGGAAAGGATAGAGGGCATATTGAATATATTTGGGAGTAATAAATATGGGATAAACTGAATCTATGAAAAGAGATCCCAATGTACACATGCTTAAAGCTATGCTTAAAACTAGAGGGAGTAAAGTTAAGTCTCGTCAACTTGTACAGTTTTTAGATTTTGTTCAGTATACTTATCCCTGGTTTCCTAGAGAAGGGACAGTTAATTTAGAAATCTGGAAAATGGTAGGAGAGAATTTAAAAAACTGCTACATGGAAGGAGCTAAGGACATGCCAGTTTTTACCTTTGCTATGTGGAGTCAAATTCGGGACTGTTTAGACCCAACTCCAACTCATAAAATAAAAATTAGCCTTCTGAATCAGAACCGGAGGCTATAAAAAATCAGGAAATGGCAGTCACCACAGCTTTAACCAAGTTCAGCTGTCACTGCCTTCAGCCCCTATGGCTCTGGCAGAACTCTTGCCTTTTCCCAAATTGAATCCACTCTTCACTGACAGGGATTCTGAAAACGGATCTGAGGCAAAAGGCAATAATGAGGAAGATTATCAGGATGCTCTGCCTCAATCTTTCAAAAAATTACTTTCAACTGTATCCTCTAAAAATAGTCCATTACAACATATGTTGGTTCTGGCATGAAAGTCAGGAGAGGACACTTCTGGTTTTAATGTATACCCAGTCTTTGAACAAACTGATCCAGCTACAGGGCAGCCTCAGAGGCATTATGAACCTATTCCACTTAAAACCCTAAAAGAGCTCAAGGAAGCTTGTACTATGTACAGGGCTACAGCTCCACTTACATAGCAACTGTTAAATAGCATCACTGCTGGCTCTGCTCTCCCTCCTGAGGATTGGATGGCTTTGCTAAAGCTTGCCTTGGCCCTGGGGAAGTTTACTATGGAAAACTAGCTATACTGAAATAGGTAAAGAACAAGCCACCCGTAATACTGTTCATAGCATACCAATTACTGCAGATATGCTCCTAGGTCAAGGGGACCATACAGGCTTACAAAATCAATTAAATTATCCCCCATTAACATATGGACAAATGGGTATTGCTGCCACCAGAGCGTGGAAAGAACTACTCACTAAAGTAGATAAGGCCCAAGATATTACTAAAATTCTTCAGGGTCCTGGAGAGATTTTCAAGACTTTGTGGCTCTCTTATTACACCATATGGGTATGACTGTTGGGAACCCTGAACTGGGTACTCTCCCTGTAAAACAGCCTTTGGAAATGCTAACAAACATTGTAAGGAAGCTCTCAGACCTTATAGGAAAAAGATTTCCTCACAAGACATGATTTGGCTCTGTTCAGATATAGGGGAAGACTATGTTCAGGGAATGGCATTAGCGGCTGCCCTGAAGGAAACCTTATGCCCTTCAAAAGCAAGTGTGTGTTATAATTGTAACAAACCAGGTCATTTTACCAAAGAATGTCGTAAGGTCACAAAAGCAAATTTACCACCTGCTGGATCTTTTGGTCAAGGACAAAAGCCCCCAGGAAGTATGTCCTCATTCCAAACGTGGCCGTCACTGGGCTAATGAGTGTCACTCACAATCTGATATAGAAGGGTGACCATTGCAAAGGCAGCAGGGAAACTCTTCGTGGGGCCAGCCCTGGCCCCATCAAACAGTAAGGGCACTCAACACCCTCAAGGAAGTACCAGCCGGGTCATCATAACAGACCTCCTTCGTGCCACCCCTGGAAGTGCAGGGCTAGATCTCAGTCCCTTCACCCAATACACATTAACTTCTGAGATGGGAACTGAGACAATCCCTACAAGGAATCTATGGGCCATTACCAGAAGGGACAATGGGATTAATTTTAGGAAAAAGTACTTTGACATTAAAGGGTTTCCAAATACATCCTGGAGTTACTGATCAAGGTTATACGAGAGAACTTAAAATTCTTGCTCAAGCTCCTCAGACTTTTGTGGCTATTGCTCCCACACATAAGATTGCACAGTTGATAATCTTTCCCAATGTAAGGGTTGGAAAAATGCTCATGGACACCTCACAGGGAGAAAAAGGGCTTGGTCATTCTGAACATGCTTACTGGATATGGCTAGTCACTTCTGACCTCCCCAAGATGGCTCTATTTTAAATCTAGTTTTGCTAGATACTGGGGCTGATGTTTCTGTAATTTCAGAGCAACACTGGCCATCCACATGGCCTTGTGTTCAGGATACAGCAGATTTAAAAGGTGTTGGCTCTGCCACAGTACTGTCAAACTCATCTGAGGTATCTCTTTAATGAATAATTTCCATTTCATGCTATTAGCTCCTCAAAGATATTGGCTAGGAACAATTTCCAGTTAGTAAAGTCATAATTCACTGGCATTTCCTTTATAAAGGAAATCAAAAGGGTTATTTAGAAGCTGAACAAACACCTTGATTATTATTATAGATAATATTGTAGAGGGACTGCTGTATCATTGTTACACAAACTCAGGCACACCTCCTAGAGCTTAAGATTAAATGGATTATGTAATTGCATGAAATTTGGCATCTTAAGATCTATTTCCATTTTAAACTATACCATTGGGTGAAAGTGTTGTTCAGTGTCACAGAAGCAAATGAAAGAGTCAACATCACTCTTTTGGCTTATTTTCCTTGTGCTTTTTGGTTATACTTCCACCAGGCCCAGTGAAGCCCTTCCAGGGGCACATCATTCAGTTCCCTGCCCAGCTGCTCAAAGATAAAACAATAGGCTTCACTTCAACTATCCCAGGAGCTAGCACTCAGGTAAACAATGCGGCTTTAAACAGAGGAGAGACTTATAGACCTTGCACAATTCTTGATTTTGTAGTTTTCCAAGGAAGTCAGAAAAGAATCAATCTTAAAGAAACTGAATTTAGGGCTGGAGGTATGGCTCAAGTGGAAGAGTGCCTGCTTTGTAAGCACAAAGTCCTGAGTTCAAACCCCAGTCCCACAAAAAAAGAGAAACTCGAAGTTACGTTAAAAAATAATGTATTATCTTAAAAAAAGAAAAAAACAAACAATGGAAAAACTTAGGGAAAATACAGCTTATTAATCAAATTTTACTTTGGCTAAATTCTAGTAAGTCAGTATAACTTACTGAATTTAGAAGTACAGCCTATCATGTTTTTCTGACAGTAGTAGTGCAGGACATGAAAATAGTTCATAGCTCTTTAGCCTTTTGGAACTTCTAGACATAAAAGAACAAAGGCTAACAGGATTTGACATTCAGAAATTTACTTGTTTAGCAGAAATCAGGAGCTAGTTGAAACACCGGAGTCTCATTCATTCTGGGTGTTTTCAGTAACTTCCCATGTGGAGCCCAATGGTGCTAAGCCTCACCACACATCAGAATCACTTGAAGCTTTCAAAAATTACTGAATACCCAGGCCAATTAAATTTGGAAGGGTAGGCCAGAGTCAGTATTCTTTATGCCTGGTGACTCTAGTGTACAGCCAGTCTGCAGACCACTGCTACACTTCTTTCAGAAACTTGCTCTTGAAAGCCACATGAATGGAATTCCAATCTAGATAGTTTTACTTTTTCTAAATTACATGAGAAGATTTTTTTTGTCCCCTGTGGTTTTTTTTTTTTTTAAATAAAAAGCACAGGTGTGCTTCCTCTCAAGATGTAGCCTGGTATTTGGGAGGTGCTGATTGTCAGAGGTTATCTGGAGCGTTGGTTGTAAAGAAGAAAGTCCTTGTCTTGGCAGAGCAGGCAGAGTTTCAGTCTTTGGCAACTGCCTCCAGCAACAAAAAACGCCCAGATACCAATGAGAACCATCATTATATATGCTGACACCAGATTTATTCCATAATGAGGACTTAGGGAGGTCTGGGCAGACACCAGCAGATGGATCGGGAGAGCTATTAGAAGGATGTAGCACTGTTTTTTCTCACGGCCATCAAAAGAAACAATGCCCCTGAACACGTGCAGCAATATGATAACGAGTGTCATGAAAGCTGAATTAAGGAAAAACTGAGGAGAATCTCCATGAATGCACATCATGCCTGGCTCCAAGGAGTCAGACAGGGTATTAACAAAGGAAAATGCTCCACTCATGATTCCAAAGCCCAAGCCAGAAACATAGGCCAGCAATTGCATGGAAGGTGTTGTCTCATCTGGTTTTATGCTCTTGAAACCCTCCTTGTCTTTTTTAAAAAGTCTATAATATGCAAACCAGAACATTTCTTGGATAATGACTGAAAGCAACACTCCAAAGATTAGCAGATATTTCTGTACTGGTTCATCTTTGTTGCCAGAAGTGAGTCTTGCTATGAACCAAAAAAGGGATGAGATCAGTGGAGACACCAACCAGAAGAATGCTCTGACAATGAGGAAGATGATGTGTAATGGGTTGGTGGTGATGGTGAAGATGTAGAGAGCGAGCACAGGCCTGAAGGCAATGAAGGCAGAGCCAAAGAACACCACTGTGGTCATGGTGACCGCACAGGCCCGGGGCATCCTGGTTTCTGTCTTTTTGGTTAAATGCCCAAAAGTGAAATGAGAACAGAATTATACTTTAATTGTTGAATACCTTTTTCTGTAATGGCAAATCAAATTTAAATTTCCCAAATCATTGCACAATGGTTTCAATATCTCCATATCCTCACCAATACTTCCTTCCTTCTTTCCTTCTTTCCTTTTTTCTACTTCTTTCCTTCTCTCTACTTCCTTCTTTCCTTCAAGTTCATCTTCATCACCATCTTTTTAATGGATTTTCATTATCTTAAAAAGAATTAGTCAATATCTCATTCTGGTTTCAATTTACATTTCCCTAATGAATAGTAATATTAAGCATGTTTTCATGGCCAGGCAGCTAATTATGTCTTTTATGTAATAATCTATACCTAATTTCTTTACACATTTTTACTCAATTATTCATGTTTTAAATTTGATTTAGATTTATTTAGTATTTATTGACATACCAATGACAGGTACCAATTCCTAATATAGCTTGGATAGCAATTCTTTATTAGATATATGGGTTGCAATATTTTGTCTAATTATACATATTGCCACAGTTTGACTCTTAGTTCTTCCAATAACTTTATCAAGTAGCTATATACATCATTTTACATGTGAAAAAATGAGTTTGATGTCCCCATTCCAGAGGAGTCAATACAGAAACCTTAAGGTGACAGAGGTCAACATGAGAAGGGGATCAGGAACCAGTGTAAAGATCAGTTAGAGATGAATCAACCTGGGTTTTAACGCATTTGTACATGAAAGCAATGCTAGAAATTTCTCTGTATAGCTGTCCTTATCTCAACTAGCAAAAATGCTATGTCTTTCTTATTATTGCTTATTTCTACTCTTCAAGGGAACTGGAGAAAAGCACAGAACAGGTTCTGCCTGGAAGGGAGGCGGGAGAGGGAAGAAGGTGGAGGTGGGGGCAGGAGGGAGAAACTACCCAAATGATATATGCACATGTGAATAAATGAATAATAAAAAAATTAGTTGGTATACAATTAATTTTTTCATATCTTTTTGAATAGTGCCCATCCTCTTTCCACTCTTCTACATTGAGGATATGATTCTGAAATGACAAGATGCAAAGACCACCCTAAACATGGTTATCAAATTATCTTTTGTTCTATGCCCTATCATTCCTGAATGATTCTCAACCTCTGTAACTCTCAATTGAGGCTTAATTTTATAATGCTCCATTCTCACAAAGTTCATCTTATTCAATGGGAAATTGATCTGATGCTTTTCTTCCAATTGAAAAATATTTTGTAAAATATTGTTTATATTTTACAAAAGGAATATTCAGTTTATTAGGTGTCACTTAGTTCACAAAATAAAATAGCTAATAGTAGACTTTTAGATGAAATGGCACTCTAACAGTTGGACTAGAGATTTCATGAAGTAAATATGTAACTGTATATTTTTCCATGACCCATTTTCACCCACTTTTTGTAGTTTATAGTATTACATGTATACTATCATCAGATAATTTACAAAAAGATCCCATGGAAGAAGTTTGTATATAATCTGAAAACTTTAAGTTCTACATATTGGTTTAATAATCCTAGTTTCAGATAAGCTAATAACATGCTGAACATAAAAAAGTGAATGGAAATGAAGTCATTTTATAAGATGGAAAGCTATTTGTTTTTATTTTTGTACATGATTACTTTCTAGTTTTCAACTGAAGACTCTTTCCTGAAAACAGCCACAGCTATTGTCCTGATCTTACCAGAAATTCAAAGGATCTGGAGTCACTTTTTTATACTGTACTTTTTATGGATACTCCATCTTTAAACACTATTTCTTCACCTTATGCTTTTGACCAGATATCCCTCTTCCTGCCAGGATAGCTACTCTCTCAGAATCCTGACAAGACAGGAATTAGGTTGATGTGCCTCTGTGTGTGTGTGTGTGTGTGTGTGTGTGTAGACACAAAGAAAAAATAAAAATATACATTATAGCACAAGAAACCAATTACAGGCCGAGGAGAGGTTATAGCATGCACTGGAGGCAGAAGGGAAGTCCAGAGACAGTAGGGAGCTCAGTCATTGTGACAGGAAAGGGAGAATGCATGGGAATACACCTTTATTAAGGTTCCTATTCTGGGTGTGGATTAGATAGTTTAGAGAAAATTCATGAGTAAAAGGATAGTTGAATGAAAACTCTCTGGCACATTCATTATGTCTTGTCATTGTCATTAGCTATGGTTGTGTTGTGTTGTGGAGCAGTAAGATGAGGAACAAACTGGGTATATCAGAAAAAAACAGGCACAACAGGATAGGGTATTACTAGACTAAAATTTATCTGTCAGTCATAAAACTGAATGCTGAGTCAATTACTACTATTACCCAATTTATAATGAGAAGGAATGAAAGTTGTACACATTATTTTAAATATGGAAAGATATTCATATAAGATGCCAATTCTTAAGAAACTGGAAATAATTTAAATATATTTTGTACCTAAATAAATTTTTTTTGATGACAGTGGGAACCTCCTGTCTAACATATGACTTTGTAGAAAATAGAATCTAGAGATGATATTTGACTCAGTCTTTTCCATTTCCTATATTCTACTTGCTCTAAGACTTTGTCCACTGCGTAATTGAGGAGAACCTCAATTTTTTGAGGAACAAATAATTAAATGATTAATATTGTAGCCTATGCATCTGCTATGGAGTAGCATGTTGGCCAGGCCCCAGGGATGTTCATACCCCGATAATGCACTCTCATTAAAGGAGGAGGATGTGAGTGTATTGGATTACTAATTAATACCTCATTCTGTGTGGAACCAGACATAAGGGATGCACCTAGAGTGACAAAAGTCTTCCCTGGGTCACAGCTGCTCATATGGGCACTCATGCCCATCTAGCCCACATCTGGAACCCAGAGAAGAAAATGATGATCTTCTAAGAAGCTGAAATTTTTTTTTCTGTTTTCATCTAAAGATACAATCAAGTAACATTTGAAAAAGAACGTGAAATGAATTGGTAAGGCTCTTCTTAACTAATTTCACCACTATTCATAATTGCATTGAACTTAAATCCCTTAGTGATCTAAGGGTTATTTCTTTATTAGACTCAGACTGTTTTAAGGCTTATGCTTTACACGTTTATTTGAAAAAAATAAACATCCCAGTTATACAAATTTTCCAGATTGAATGATCAAATGACTTAAACTGGCAATTTCTATTCCCAGCATTTAGCCTCCATAAATAGAATTAATTTCATGGACTCTCTGGAAAATTTTACTACATGTGAATGAATCTTGGATTTGATTAGAATATCATAGTAACATTTAGCAAATACTATTTTATATTAATGGTTTTAATTGAGGGATGATTTCTTTTTTCCTTTTTGTTTGCAGTACTTGACTTTGAACTCAAAGCCCTGCACTTACTAGGCCAGCACTCTGCTCCTTGAAACTTTCTCTTCCTTTTACATTCATCTTTCCTCTTTTTTATTTTGCTTCATTTTAAAAAAATTTTACTATCGTATTATTGTTGTACTAGAGAGTACATTGTGACATTGACAAAAGTGCTTACAATATATCTTAAATTCACTCTTTCATCATTCTTCTTTATGCCTTTCCCCTCATTCTTTTTTATTAACATATTATAGTTGTATCAGGTACACAATTTTGACATTTACAAAAGTTCATACAATATATCACAGTTGATTTCAAACCCATCATTCTCTTTTATCCCCCATTCCAGAAATAATATCAATAGTTCTCATTTTTCCATTTTCATACATGAGTACATAATCTTTCTACTACATTCATTGTCCTATACCCCTTTGTTATATCCTCCTCCATACTGGTACCAAGCCCCTAGAAAACATAACCACTGAATTTAGTTGTAAGTCACTGTACCTACAATATGGCTGTAATGACTGTGACAGTGTGGTGATACTGGTGGTGGACTTGGGGATGAGGTTAGAGGTTTTCTCATTTTAATAATAATGGTAATATAGCATCATCAGGGGCAGATACTACTAAATTATATATACATTTCTTTTTAATTACATATCATTGTCACTTTCACCCTGCAAAATTCTGCAGTTAGCTGTACTTACATTAACAAGCTCTTAGTTGTATGAAAAGAGAAAAAACCTGGTAGGATATTTGTATGAAGAGAAAGTTTGAATAGCTTTATTTATAAATTTAGTTATCTAATCAAATGATCAGAGAATTTCAGTGGCAGTCTAAGTTCTCAAATTTTCACTGGCTGAGAATAATTGCACATGCATCCATACACATTCAAATAGAATTGAAAAACACACATCAGCCATATATTCAGTTTTCCTGGAATTCAAATCCAAGCTGCACAGTTACTCTGCTACCTTGAAGATGTGATAAACATCTTACTACAACAGATAAATGGTAATTATTTTTCATAAGTTTCTTTAGAGAGAATAGATTGATAAATCTGCTTAGAGCAACTATAATTGTCACAACATTTTATCTACTAGTTTAAAGATTTGATGAAATTTTTTCCAAATTTTTTATAAGATGCATACAGTACATACCTATAAGAGAATAAAGATAAAATTAAAAGTATAAAAATAATAAATATAAAGAAGAAATCAAATTAAATATAGAAAGAAGAAAGCTTTCTACTAAATTATCAAGGGGATAAATGTTTTACCAATAGCTATTCACAAGTAAAATGTATGAAGATTTCTTGATTGTATAATTCCATTATAAAAATTAAAACTTGATTTAACTAATATATACTTATACACATATATTTATATGTGAACATGAAAATTGTACTGTAGGATTTTTGGAATTTCAAACAACTAAAATAACATAAATCTTCATCTACTGGCAGAGAATGCTACCATTCACAAAAAACCATGAACTATAGAATTAAACTATAAGGTACAGAATATAATTACATAAGTGTTTTAACCTATTACAATGTAATTATATCATTAAATTGCAAATTCAATATTTCTACCTACA